TGATATGCAAAACCCATCTGGGTCCCATCTAAATATGGGTTGTAAGTGGGTTTGTCCACAGGTTCCATGTTGACCCCGTGCAACATACCCATGTAGGTTTTATGCAGGATTTCCCTGGGCTTTAGGTGGGGCCCAACTGGGGATGATATGCAAAACCCATCTGGGTCCCATCTAAATATGGGTTGTACAAGCATGGGAAGGGGTGTTTATTGCTTGGTTAGTATGAGCAGCACAGCACAAAACTTTGTGTGCTTGTCGTCTCCTAATTAGGATTAAAAATAAGATAGATGTTAAGTTTGCTTTTTAAAACAAATGGATGTTTACACCATGTCGATGCCAGTCGCGAGCAGCGCAGCACGGCGCGACTAAATGCAATAGAACCCATTATAATCAGTGACTCGGTCTACACTGGATGCGATGCGACATGATAAATCCCCGACAGCAAACTGATGCTTCGTTCTATTTATGATGTACTGACACCTAGTTAAATGATTTTCAACAGTCGCTTTGTCGCGTCTAGTAGACAGACTTTAGCTGTTGTGCCATGGCGCAACATGACAACTGTCACGTCTGGTGTAGACATGGTGTTAGTATGCGACAACAACAATCGTTGTCATTTAGGAAGATTATGATCTTTAAACGATAAATCGTGCAGCTCTAATTTCTGATAATAGATGCTTCTCCATATATTTCTGATCATATTTTTAGAGAAACATTACACTTAATTCATAATAAATCATAATTATACATTGTATTAAAGGGATAGTTCACTCAAAAATAAAAATTATGTCATCATTTACACACCAAATCAGGTGACGGGCCCCATTGATTTCAACAGTATTTTTTTTCCTTCTACTGTATGAAAGTCAATGGCTACTATGAACTGTTTGGTTATCACCATTCTTGAAAATATGTTTTTGTCTTCAACAGAAGAAAGAAATTCATACAGGTTTGGAAAAACATAAGGGTGATGAAGGGTAAATGATGGTAGAACTTTCATTTTGGGGTGAACTGTCCCTTTAAGTAAATTATGTAAAATCAAATTAAGTCAAATTATTACATTTAGTAAAATCAAAACATCTCGCATATCACAAAAGGTCAGTGAATCCATACCAGAAGTGACAGTGCAGTGTAGAAGATAAGGACAATCCTCCTCCAAGTGGCCAGTAATCAAGCTGTGTTCACGGGCTGGCGATGAGGTTGCTTGGGCGTTCTCACTACTGGTTGCCTTCACAGCGAATCAGGTTTCTTGACGCTAATTCGCTGGACATGCCCTATCCGGTCACCAATGGCCTCTGTTGCCGGAAATCACCAGCTCTCCATTGAAATGAATGGGATCGTGTTGCTTTGACGTTGTGTGTGGCTTGTAGAGTGAACGGGGCTTCAGCTGGATCCTTGGAGAATCTGGAGTGGGGTGGGTCCTTAATAAGAATGATTTTTTTTTTTAAACCATTCTTTTAAACAATCTTAAACGTTTTTAAATTGTACTGCCATTTGACATTATAAGCCATTTAGACAACAAACAAATTCTCAGCTTTAAAACTAAGTAATGATTCAAAATTTAAACCTAATGCATGACAATCCCATCAGAAAAATGTGAATCCCCCCAAAAAAAGACAGAGGATTCACAAAAATGGACCCTTTCCATAGATATCATAGCAAGGTAAACACAACTGTAGCTTTAAAAAAAAAGCCCATTTGTACACCACAATCAAACCAACCTTCATATAATTTTCCCTGCAGCAGCATTTATCCTGATAGGACACATCTGAAGGTTGTGATGTTCTCCAGTGAATGAAATAAAGGACTGATGATGGTGACAAGTCCTGTTCCCCTTTTCTTGTGCCTCCTCAGAGGAAGAAAGACAACAGGGGGGAAAAAGTTACTCATTTTCTATCACCAGTGGAGGAAACATCTTACA